AGGTGGAGAAGGGGTTGATGGGTCAAGAAAGGAATGGAAGGAGGGATGAGATTGTTAAATTGGGAGGGGGCGGGTTCAAAAAAAGGCTGCGAGAGAGAAGAGAGAGTTTTTGGGACTAGAGTCGTTGTTTATCTCGGCTCGCTAAACCGCTGTTCGGAAAACCTTAGAAAAAATCAAACGGACCAAGACGGCGAGAATTCAGAATACTACGGAGTCTACAGCGTCGATCTCGATTCTGGGGTTGTAGATTGTTCAGGATTTTTGATTATTGCTGATAAGATATATGAGTGAGTGAAATAAATGACTGTTATGGTTCGTACCCGCAGCCCAGTCTCTTGACCCCCCGCGCCCCCTCCTCCCGCCCCCTTCCCCCACCCCCCTCTCAAGATCGTAAAAGGGGGCCAAGAAAAAAAGAAAGCTTTCAGAGATACTCCTTAAACATCTCCTTAAAGAAGTCATTCAGGAACAAATTCTTCGGATCCATCTTCTTGCGGACGTCCAGGTAGGCCTTGAGAGCCTCCTGGTCAGCCTGCTTCGCAAAGTGGTGGATGGCGCCGTCGCGCGTCTTGTTCACGTGCGGGATGCCGCCGTGCTGGACGGCAATGTCGTTGAAGGCGAGCCGGAACAGCTTCCACGTCGGGTCGGTCGGGTCCGGGTACTCCGGGTCGACGGCCATCATGTTGCCGCGGCGGGCGCGCGAGAGCAGGGACTGCTCGTCGTGCTTCATGAAGTAGATGAGGACGGGCAGCGGTAGGAGGAAGTTGCGCTCGCGCCGGAAGCGGTCGGCGAGGGCAAGGAGGGCGCGGACCATGGCGGGCCAGTCTTCTTCTAGGAAGACCCAGTCGTAGAATTCGAAGGTGGGGTCGTCGTGGGAGTAGATTATGCCGCGGTCGCAGGGGTCGATGGTGTAGGAGCTGTGCTCGATGATTTTGAGCTAGGACGGAGGAGGGGGGGATAGTTAGCTTTTGTGTGTGTGTGTGTGTGTGTGTGTGTGTGTGTGTGTGTGTGGCGGCTGAAATCGGGGCATCTCACCGGCAGATCGACGAGCGCGGAATTCACGAGACTGCCCACGCTAGATTGAGGGTGGAGTGCGGTCGTCGCCTTGACTAGGGGTAAGAACAGGTCTGGGAACAGAGAGATTCCCCGACTCTCGACTGGATCGAGCCAGGTTGCGAGTGTGTGCGGGTTTGGCGGGAGAGGCGCCATGAACTTGCGGCATTGCCACAGCAGCTTTCCGGTGTTGGCAAAGCTGATCGTCGCAGAGAATTCCCATCAGCATTCTTCTTCTTCTTTGAGATTCTTGGGAACGATGAAACGGATTGGCAACCGGCACGGAAGCCGTCGAAGGGGTGTTGACTTACAGCATACCAAAGCATTGGTCATTGACCGCCTTCAGGGCAACGATTTCCTCGTCGAAGTTGTCCAGGAACCCATCGATCTGTTTGATCTGGTAGCCGACGTGCAGTGGTTGGGTCTTGAGGAGGTTGACCTGTAGTTTAAAATCAAAGAGTCAAGTTAGCATGCACTGTGACTTGAATCGGGGATCTAACAACCGAGGCGGAGAGATCTGTGGAATCTGTGTAGCGAAATACGAACGGTGATCTCGCAGACAACACCCAACATGCCAAAATGAGATCTCAGTGCGGGAAGATACTCGGAATTCTGGGCTGCGGAGGCCACAAGAATGTCTCCGGTAGGGGTGACGAGCTTATAAGCAGCGACGTGGGCGGCAAACTGTGCGCTTCGTTGCACTATTGGGAGTTAGTCAAATTTGTACTTGACTGTTCTATAGCATATGTCATATAGTGGCCTGGAATTCTGGATTGATTTACTGGAGCTGTCATTGGCATGAGTGCCGGCCATGGCACCGAGCTATCCCTCTCTTGTTAGCGTTCTTCGGCCCTGATATCTCTAGATAGAAAGGGGGAGTGGTAATACCTGGAAGTTTCCAAACTCCAGAATAACAGGAGTCTGAAGGCCCAGCTTCTTCAAATACACACAAACGTCATGTAGAATCGCACCAGCTTGCACCGTGATAGTCATCGCTTTCTGCATCCGAGGTCAGCCAATTTCAACAAGTCATGGAGGGGGCAAAACACACCTGATCAACCCCAAGGATCTTGTTCACTTTTGAGAAAACTGTATCAGCATGCTGCATACATAACACCGCCAAAGGAGGAGCGCATCCTACATACTGTTGGTCATGGCAATGGCAACGTCACTTCCAACCATGCATTGCGTGGTCGAGTGAATGGCCCCGAGGACGGTGACCCGCTTGTTCTCATTGTAGGCTTTCTTCACGATCTTCTGGACCTCATCAATCGAAGATGGGGTCTCGACGTCGGCCACATCGAAGTTGATGGAGTGATTCCAGTTGCTGATGGCAGGCATGACTGCGACTTTGCTGAGAGCGTAGACTTGGGATATACCTCAATACTCTGATAAATATATATGTATATCTTCAAGATCAGCTGAAAAGTTCATTCAATACGTTCGATCCTACTTCTACTCTCGGGAAGTCTCGACTTATGTACGCAGCGGCTGCGACGGGTAGAAAGAATACTTCGCATGGAAGCCCCCAAATTCCGTCATCTACGAGGAAGGGAAGCCCAAGATGATTCGTCTTACCCAACGCAGCGAAAGAGTGTGTATCCAATCATGGCTTCGACTGATACCGTCAAGACCTCTCTTCTGCGAAGAATTTTGGGTACGCAATAAGAATTGGTCGTCTAAGCTTACCTGCATAAAACCCCAAACCCGTTGCCTGAAGGCCGCTGCGCTGAGCCCTCCCCAATTCCTCGACGATCCGACACAATTCACGATCTCCGTGTCCCTTTCTCACGTCAGACGCTGAGCTTCACATGTTTCCTAAAGCTTCTTGGGCAAAATACCGTATGTTAAAAAGATATATCTGCGCGCCGGAACGTTCTCACGCACGCCGGGCCCGGCGAATCAGCCGGGGCGTGGGCACCAGCTCCAAAAAAGTCAGCGGTGTTGCTTCCCCGGATTAAGGGCTCATAGCACCTGCATATCTACGGGAAGTTAAGTCAGTTCAGTCAGCACGAAAAATGAGGGGCGTTACGTCTGAGGATCATCAGCCAGCCTCAATCAGCGTCAGCATCAATTCTGCAGGTGATCTTCATGGAATTTCGCTGACAGTCAGCAAGCACAACATGGGAGAGGGCCTTTGCTGTAGAACCTTCACGCATATCAGGAGATCAGGTAGTTGCACTTCACATGAAAGTGTGGAAAAAAAAAAATGAAGGTCGGATGAGATGATGCTTGCGCTAGACTTATGAGGACTCGCCGAGCAATGTATTGGTGGTGACTAACAGCTCGGATGAGTATGAGGCAGGAAGGTTATAAATGGGCATTTCTTCTTCTTCTCGATTTTCGTTACGGTGAAAGCCACGCCTAGGATACCACTTCGAGGTGCGATCATCCTACAAATATGCGCGTGTTTCTTCCAGCCCTGTGTTAAGTTCAATTCTACCAGGATTGAAGCAATTGATACCTACTACCTTCTGTACAGGTGTGCAAGGGGGACATGGACATCAGCCCACCAGCATTACTTCTGAGAGCCCAAGCCCTTTTCTACCATTTGGCAATTGGCATTGCCGCCGGACTCGTCTCTTCAAGCTGTTGATACCAGGTGCAAGGAAAGACAGACCACCTTTCAAATTCCACCGTGCTCTTTCTTTCAGCAGCCCTCTCCTCTCATCTCCTGGGCAATACGGTGAGTTGACCTATCGATCCAATATTCTTCAACATCTCAAGTGGTCGCTTTCCAAATAACTTTGCTGCTGCTGACATCGCCGATGAGGCCCCAGATCCACGCGATGCGATAAATACACTCTATGTGTTGGTTACACAATAGGGTGCACACGTGAGACTCGGTACGAATGGCAA